CAAAATGGTCCACCGATTCAATAAGATGTCAATTAAGCAGCTTGAACTTTGCAAAAAGGCCAATATCTAACCACTGAGCACATGACATGATTTGATTCTAATTTGACTTAAACAAATCAAATATTTCAACCTCAAATCCATCAATATTATCATCAAATATTCCCCACCCAGTGTTTAACTAAAATATAAAGTCCAACAGAAAATATACTCAAATCCTGCACCAAATTGCTATACAGGTAAGTGTATGCATAAAAAATTGCTTATAGATTGCGAAGAAGCTCAAAATTGACGAAAACACTGATATCTCTCAAACCGGAGGGAATTTGGCGAAACGGACAGCGGCAAACCGAACTTCTGTGGGTTTGATTGGCCCCATTTCCTCGAAATAGGTGATTTTCATATATAATTCGTCAAATTTTGACTTACGATTTGAAAATTATGACCCGTTCTTCGTAGCATGTTCTGAAGTCCGTTTGAACTGATCGAACCTCGCCTGAACTATTGGACCAAACCTATAGGTTCCCAGAACACAACTCGAGACGAAGAGAAGGCGATGAACGTCATCATCCGAGTCAAAGAAGATTATCTGATACCAAAAGGTAGCAAAGGAACGCGCGAAACGACGGAATGAAGAAGCGACGGGATGACAAAACGATGAGCTCAGGGTGTCTTGAATTCCGAGACACCTCAGGGTGTCTCGCATGCCGAGAAGCCGATGACACTGTTTTTTATGTTTTCTTCGGGTTTTGTGCTATCCATTGGCTTCCTAACTGCCTTGGGGTTATCCTTAAACATGGGAGAGTCGTTTCTAACTGAAGGTAAGTTCAAATCGCGGATTCCTATCCACAAACTCGGTGTTCAAGCCCTATAAATAGCCCCCTTCATGCAATTGTGAAGGGTACTGACGGTTGACTGACGAATGTGCGAGAGAACCCACGTTTTCCAGAGTAGAGCCACGGTTTACAGAGAGAGAGAGAGAGAGAGAGAGAGAGAGAGAGAGAGAGAGAGAGAGAGAGAGAGAGACAAGGTCTTAGCGATTTTCTGAACATAAAGGGAGAATTTCAAGAGATCCATAGCCTTCCACCCGTTTCCTTAAGATCGGACCTTGTTCTGATATTGAGAAGAGTAGGAACCTCACTTTGTTGAGGTTATTCACTTTTGTTCTAAGTTTCCTCAATCAAAACAAAGAACACCAAGCCTTCTTTCAGATCAACCCGGATCTGTTGTTCAGCGGTCCACGGATCAAAGCGTCCCCAGCACATGCAAAGATCACACGCAAGCAACAACCGATAAATGATCTCTGTGTGTGTTTCTAGGAAGTCTTTGTTTATTTTCATTTGTGTAAGAAAAGTCTTATAAAAAGGCTCCTTCTTTTTGAATCTGTAATTGATAAACAGTTGTAATAGATTCCACAATGAAAAGGATTTCCAACGCAAACAGTAAACACATAATTAGAAGCATTTGTCACTAAGCAAGGTTTCAGGCGAGAAAAAAAAGGAGCATTCGACACTAATACTATAATCCCCAACATAAACTATCATAATAGTAGAATTAATTATGTTTTGGTATTGTTAGTGTTATGGTGTTCTCAATCGTCAAAGTGTAACTCTTTTGCCAGTAACAGACGGGTGTACTTCTACATAAAATGGCCCAATCAAATTGGCGGCCAGAGACCAACAAGAATTCTAACTTAGCTGACTCGCCGAGTCGACATTACTTCATGTCGACTCGAGTGATGGAACTTGTCGGCCCTCTTGTCGAAGACGACTCGCAACGAGCTCACTCGACCAATTCGACGTCTCACAAAGATGACTCGAAAGGCGTTACTTCTCGACGAAGCTAGAGGACGGCTTTAGCCTTGAACCTCTCCCGCTGACACAACATTGACGTCGTATTTAATGCTTGGCAGACACTATCATACCTTTAATCCCGATAGCCTTCATAACTTATTGGATCACGTCGGCACTACCATGCCTCAGATTGTTTCACATTTAATGCTGAGGTGATCTCTCCTTCACTCAGTGACCGACACGTATAAACTAAGTGCTGACGCAGCTGCCAGCCCATACTTCTTCATCACCATGCTGTGCTCGAACGAAATGCCCATTGTACCCTTATACCATAGGTATAAATACAGATACTATTCTAACAAAAGGGGGATTTTCTTCTTCTGGTTTTTCGATAAAATCAGAGTCTTCTGCAAATTATACTGCACACACAAGAACTAACACAGTTCACTTTTCCCACTCAATTTCATCACCTGGCTTTATCGTCGGAGGAACCACGGGGGTGTCAGGTCTCATATTTATGAGTCTACTATCTAATCTAGTTTTGATGATTAACAAACAATTCCTAACAATATTTGTTGAGTGTTTATATTTGATTGTAAGGTATCCTACACAAAGATCCTATGTTGGAGGTTGGTTGGACTTGCGCCTACACAATCATATACATTGGAGGATGGAAGAAAATTGGAGTGAAACCGTCACAATTCAAGTCAAATACGAGATCGTGCTTCATCCCCTACCAAGCTGAGAATCGTTCAACATCGAGCTCAGTCAAATACGAGATCGTGCTTCATCCCCTACCAAGCTGAGAATCGTTCAACATCGAGCTCAAATGAAGACTTTTAGCTTCTTCATCCCCTACCAAGCTGAGAATCGTTCAACATCGAGCTCAAATGAAGACTTTTAGCTTGAGTATATTATTTCTAGTTTAGTTGTGTACTTTATGTGTTAATACTCAAAGCTCAACTTTTTTACACATACACGTTTTTCGTTTTATAGCCTTCAAGTTTATTCATATAAACATGAAACATATAGTAATATGTATATACAAACATACTCGTTTAATATTTATCATTTTGGTTTTGGAAAATAATGTGTTTATTGATTAAAGACTTATTTACACTATTTTATATCTTTCCTCAAGCCTATTAATCTATTTTAAAGTGTTTCAAAACTTGTTTGAAAGAAATTCGTCAAAATAAAGTTTTAACAAGTTCGTATGGTTTACCAATTTGTAAAATAATGTGTTGTGGATTAATGACTTAATATAACTGTTGTATATCTTTCATAAAGTCTATTAATCTATTTAAAAAAAGTTTCAAACTTGTTTGAGATCATTTTGTCAAAATCAAGTGTTTTAAAGTCTATTAATCTATTTAAAAAAAGTTTCAAACTTGTTTGAGATCATTTTGTCAAAATCAAGTGTTTTAAACGAATTCGTATTTTGACCGATGTTTGAGATCATTTTGTCAAAATCAAGTGTTTTAAACGAATTCGTATTTTGACCGATTTTGCAAAATGACGAGTTTTCACAAACGAAAAATGTGTTTTCAAAATTTTCTTCTTTAATATGTTTAGTTTCATGTATAAAACATTCCCCAATATTTTACTAATTTTAGAGTTTATTTGTTATTTTAAATTGTATTTACAAAGTCAGATATTCTGGAAAAAATAATTTTTCAGATGTATAAAACATTCCCCAATATTTTACTAATTTTACATGTTTAGTTTCATGTATAAAACATGTTTAGTTTCATGTATAAAACATTCCCCAATATTCTGGAATATCTGTTATCGGTCGACCGATCAGGTGCAACCGGTCGACCGATCAGAAATAATTTTTCAGACCCTGCAGATAATCACTCATCAGTCGACCGATACACAATGATCGGTCGACCGATACACAATGATCGATCGACCGATGGCTAAGGTTCAATCGACCGGTACAACAATGTCGGTCGACCGAATGAGCTCAAGATTTTCTAGTCTGCCAACGGTCATCTAGTCGGTCGACTGACCATGGTTTATCGGTCGACCGAAACTACTAATATGGTTAGTTTTCCAGACTCTATGATTTTAGGGATTTTGTTTGTTTTGAAGATTTTCTTGGAATTTATTTGTTATTTTTAAACCAAGTTCAAAGTTTATTTTCACTGTTCAGAAAAATCCATGTGCATGTTATCACTCGACTGATAAGACCATCAGTCAACTGACGAAATTGCCTGGAATCATCCAATGTTTCTGCTCAGTCGATTGATGCACCATCAGTCGACCGAAGCTGCTCATCAGTCGACTGATGGTGCATCAGTCGACCGACGGGGTTTTGAGCGGTGGTAACGGTCAGCTCATCAGTCGAGTGAACAGTACATCAGTCGACTGACGGCTTTCCAACGGCTAGTTTTCCGATTTTCGAAATTTAAGGAATTTTGTTATTTTGGGATTTATTTTCTTTGTTTTTGGGGGTTTGTTTTGAGAGCCTATATATACCCTCAGTCCTCAACACTTACAATTATCTATCTAAAAAGTTTAAATCAAGTTTTTTACAAGTTTGTTTAAGTGTTTCAAGGGGGTTTTCAAGTTTGTTTATGTGAAGATAGTTTCACAAAGAGAATGATTTGATTTTCAACAATGAGGAGCTCATCCTCAACCTTCTACATCTCTTTGTTTAAGAAGTTTTCTAAACTCCATTTATCTAGCTTGTTCATATTTTTAATTATTATATTTATTTGCTAGATTAATTTGAGTTTAGTTTCATTTGTACTTTGTTATTTTCACACACAATCACTTGAGCTTAAATTATTTTCACATATTGTATAATTTAGATTGTGGGTGTGATTGAGTAAGCTTACATTTAGTTCTCATCTTGTTTAAAAAACAAATTATTTATTCTTGTGCTTAATTATTGAGAGAACACAATGTGATACACTAAAACACTTAGAGAAGTGGTTGGTAAGAGACAGGATCAATCCTAAGAGGAGTAACGTCGGATGTAAGTCATGTAAATCCTAGGGAGATGTTGTAATTCTGAGCTAGTTGGGGCCTTGCTTGTGGAGATACACTCGCCTATTGTTCGGTGAGGAATTGTATTTCGGCGAATGGGGGATATCATAAGAGATATGATGTACTTGCAGAGATAAACTTAAAATTTGTATTGCTACACTAGTCATTCTAAGAATGCTAATTGTAACTACACAAGTATGACAATAGAGCCCATATAACAAGCAACTCCTAGTATTATCGGTGTAAAAGTACTCATGTAGATATACAAACTCTAACGTCATTCATGTAATTACATCATATATATCAAAATATTAGACTGTAATTAATCCATCATCATATCTAAACATTTTCTTCATATATATGATTTTCCTATAATAATAATAATAATCTTAATGACTACCTTGACAAAACAACAATCCTATGAAGACAACGCAACAGTCAACACTCAGAAAAACGGGGCTCGACGAGGAATCCCTTTCCTCATACGAACTCTCAACTTGGGTGTAGCCTCTTGGTTGATTGGACGGTCGTGATTCTCTTCAGCTGAATCCGACGGTTGAGATGATGACCATGAGAGCGAAGAAGAAGGCAGCTCGACAACTTGCGGGGAGATGTCCTCGAGATCAGGAGTCGACGGCAGTATCAACGGGCCAGATTTGTTCTTGAGCATCGGAATATCTACAGGCTCATAGGAAACCTGCAAGAGTTAATTAAATTGAATAATTAATTAACGCCTGGAAAATTATGACAATGCCCACAATGGGGAATAAAAATTTACCTTGCAGGCTATGGAACAATATCGATTCGGCGCGGAGATAGATCGACGGCAGTGATTGCACGGAGTAGTACCATGAGGGGGTTTGGACGGCTTGGATTTCTTGGATTTGGGGTTGAGAAATATCACTTTAGCTTGGTTCAGTGAGTATGGCTGCATTCCAAAACAAGATTAAAACAAAACCGATACTATTAAATCGCAACAAATCCGGTGCAACTTAATTAATCTTTGTAATCAGATAAAATATGGAAGCTCAAGGAAAATCCAATCCAATCAAGGCTAACCAAACATTTCTGGAAAATCCAAATCAAATCTAGGAATATATCTTAAAATATCAAATATTACTCAAAAGGAAAAATACACCACTTGCCTGGTTAGAAATAAAAATGTAAATCGTATTAATGAATTCAAAATTAAATGGATTAAAAAAAACAATTTAGCGCAGCCTACTCTACTACGCCAAAAACCAACAACAAAAAAACTTTCTATATTTTTTTTATACTTACTAAAACCTTCAAGCTAAATAGGAAAAGAATAAAACTTGCGCATCACATTAAAATTGAAACATTACCATTTCAAAGAAATTTTTATTAGTAAAAGTCTAATGCGGCCAAAAATTTTAAAATGAAATAAACATTATTAAAAAAATTTCCACATTATGTCGAAAAAAATGAGCTCAGATCTTCTTACTTTCCAAGTAAACTAGAAATCAGATTACAATTAGCTCCAAAAATTTTCTAACAAGATTTATTTAGCTCTATAAACTAAATAAATAAATTTGAAAACAACACGAGTTCTGTGAACTTATGCAAAATAAAAAGCAAACAGCTTGCTTAACAAAGAGGCAATTTGCTTTAAAAAAAACACAAATTTATTTGTTTTTTTTTTAAAGAACCCATTTAAACCGTGCAAATTACAAAAAAAAAGAAATACTAAAAATTACCTGAATTTTGGAGCAATCTATGTGCTTCTGCATCTCATCAATCTTCACAACGTCACTATAAACGTATCTCCTAATCTGAAGAAGCCGATGACATCTATGAGATGCATCCTCCGTAATACAATGCGAGCACATGCGCACATCGCATTCGGTACAGTAAATATTAATCTCGCTTTTTCTGGAGTCACGGTGCTTGTTGCAATTCCCAAAGAACTTCTTCTTCAACAGCAAGTCGAGCCATTGGGGCTCGACCCTCTTTCTTCCATCTGGCATCCTCTTCGGAACTTTATAAACAGCATGACTCACCTTCACAAAAACGAAATAGAAACCTAAATCAATTCACAAACCAAACGAAGTTATACAACTGGTAAAAGATTATTCGCTTCGAAAAAATTAAATTTTTAATTTTAGGTCTGAGATTGGATTGAATGACTACCATTTTCGCTTTGGCGGCCGAGCGGATGGCGAAATGAAAAGGTTTAGATGCGGAGGGGTCGTGGGGGGCTTTAATAAGGCTTTTAATGGCAGGGAACCGAGCTGGACGAATCCGGGCCGTAAATCTCATCGCGAGCGACGAGGCCCGTATCCACCGTGAAATCCGAAGCCCACGAAATCCCTCGCAAAAAACCCTAAGGTGGGAGCCGGATTACACGTGGCGAGCTGCAATGGAAGGCAGCCTCGCTTTAGTTGTTGTTGGGTCCTGCTGGCTCCTCCCGCCAACATAAATAAAAAAAAAGAAGGAACCGGAACCCGTCCATTGACCGTGGTGGGACCCGTTGTCAGTGAGCGGTGGGAAAGTTTGTGTGTTTTTTTGACAATTTAGTCCCGGGATTTGCGCAATCGGCGAAGCGTTACTTCGGGGTGGGAGGCGCCGCGCTGTGCGGGGCCCGCACCCGAGGGTAATTGCTGAGCTGTAAGATTTTTGAATGATTTGGAAATATTAAATGAGAGCTGGGAATTTTAGGACGGTTAAAATACCAGTTGTGCCCTTCTGTGACCTGACATATACAAGACAAAAGAATTTGATTTCTTTAGTAGGTCAATTAGTCAAAACGTTTGACTCTATTGGAAGAGTGCTAATTACCTTCCATAATTAGAGAGCGGGACGTGAGCTTTCTCGTGTCACAGCATTAATTGTTGTTTAATTATGAAAATTATAATTGGCATCCAAAAATTGACCACTTATGTTAAAGTAATAGTAGTTATTATGACGTTTCTGGACATTATAGTTTGGGCTCTGTATTGCCCGAACTACACCCAACTTTAAAATATACATTTACTCTGAGATTTATCATGGGTGTGTTTAGTTATGAGTAGTTAGAAGAAAAAATATGCTTACATATATTGTAAGCTCATCTATTTTTATTAATTATTTATTTATTTTTATTTTATTTTTTAAGTTTTGCATGCTTTAAAATATCTATTTTTATTTGATTTTATATTTATTAATTAATTTTTTTTATAAAATATGTTTGTTGAGATTCAGATGCAACTTGAATAACGTAAGTGTCCAACTGTTATAGTGTTCCCACTCGCCTAAATATAAACTTATTGTCAAGCAATGGATATGTGTATTTCCGCATATAGTCGAGTCAATATCTCTTTAGGTCGACTCGAAAGACGATTCCAGTCGACCCTCTCGTCGAAGACGACTCGCCAGGAGTCCACTTGACCACTTGTTCGATGCCTCATGAGGACAACTTGATGAGCGTTGCTTCTCGGCGAAGTCAAAGGACTGTTTCGCCTTGAGTCTCTCCCTCTCTGACAACGTATCAGCATCGCATTGAATGCTTTGCGGGTACCATCATGACTCTATCCCCAATAGTCTTCCTGACTTATCAGATCACGTCAGCACCGTCATACCTCCGATCATTTAGCATTCAATACCGAAGTGATCCATCCCCCACTCGCCAATCGACACCTGTAAAGCAAGTGCTGACGTGACCGCCAGACCATACTTCGCCACCGCCTCTCTGCGCTCGACAAAAGTGACACATTTGCCCTTACCACTTTAGTATAAATACAAGTACTATTCTACCTTACAAAGGGCTGGAAAACCTGATTGCCAAATCTAATCTTTAAGCAATCACACTGTACACAAGAACTCAAACAGTTCTTATTTACCCCACTCAAGTTCATCAGCTAATTTGATTGTCGGAGGTACAATAGGTGAACCCAACCACATCCTCTTACGAACTTCTACTTGTGACGATTCATCTACTCTGTTCAAAGAATCAGACATAAAGTCAGGAAATAAAGCGACCCCTTCATCAATCCTCAACAAACTCATCCAAACACGGATATATAAATGACTGTGTGATCACCAGTATATTAACAGTTTGGCGCCCACCGTGGGGCATCTTTTCTTTTTTGAGAAAATATGTCGAGTTCTGAACAAGGGTCTGATCAATCTCACCCTGCAGAACGACGTCAGAGCTACGTTACCCGAACTCAGCTTGAAGAAATAGCTCACAAGCTCTCCCATTCTCCCCAAGAGCAAATTGCTATCTTTACTAGCGAACTTCTCAACTGGCTTTCATGGCCGTCTCTTCGTTTTCTTCTTCAAGAAAACATGTTAGGCCTTGAATATCAAGCCGACCAGTTCCCCCTGAATGACATAGGAGTTGTATCAGTCAAGCTAAGCGGAGTTCGGAGTTGTATCACTCAAGCTAAGAAGAATTTGGTTTTGGATGAGAGGAATCAGCATAATCATATTCCTCTACAGCCTTAGCAACCATTTTGGGAGTATTTATCAGCTAGCCATCTATAGGATGGAGTATCATCGCCTTCAAAGTTTCCTCCAAGGAAGATCAGCTCCTGTTTGTCTTTTTAGAAAAAACAACTTCGTCTCCTGGTTGTCTTTTTAGAGACTACTCCGGCTTCCTGATTGCCAAATCATGAGAACAAGAAGAGAATCATTGTGTATCGTACAATAAACGAAGACAATATGTGTCTGTACTACCCATATTTTATAGGCACTCCATATAATTGATGGTTTTTTCATAGTCCCACCTCTACTATAGAAGAAATGGAAATTCCCATATTTGTTTGATGATAAATGCGAAACAAAAACAAAAGGAAAAAAATCCCCCTCCCCGCACCGGGGATTCCATTTAAAAAAAAAAATAATGATGATATTTAGAACCGACAGACAAAGAAATTCTTATTCTATATATCATAGCAGCTAGTTCTAACTAATATTGAGGAGTTCAATATATCAATACATTAGTTAATGAGAATTCCTCCTATTCCAAAATTGAAAGTTCTTCTAGCTAAGGAAATTCCTATTATTCCAAAATTTTCTTACTTGTTTGTCGCACAAAAAAATCTTTTTGAATCTCCGATGGAAACCGACTTTGCTAGAACAGGAAGAGAATGCCTCCCTCCTTCACTGGGATAGCCTCTATTCTAGAGCCTTCAGCTTTTAAAGATGTTGAAGGGTTTCCTAGTATTCTCTGGTCGTACCGCACGACCTACAAAAACTCGACCGGGGAGATGCCATTCAAGTAAGCTTATGGCGATGAGGCAGTCACTCCTGTCGAAGTTGGCATGCCAACCATCCGACTACAATACTTCGATAAGGACTCAAACTCAGAAGGACTTCGGATGGGGCTCGATCTCTTAGACGAGACCCAAGAGAAAGCACTCCGAACCCAAGTAACCAATCAGCAATGAATCGCTCGCTACTACAACAGCAAAATCCGACCAATGAGATTCAATGCTAGCAACCTTGTCCTCCGTAAAGCTGCTTTCGACAAAGTTACCCAAAGAGGCAAGATAGCCCCCAACTGGGAAGGCCCTTAAACAGTCATAGAAGAGCTGCGAGCCGACACCTATCGACTAAGGACCCCAGATGGGAGAGTCCTCTAGCATCCCAAGAATATCGAGCACCTACGACATTATTTTCAATAATTCTATAAATTTCATTTTATATCAATAAAATTCTTATTGAAATTGTCTCGATTGCTGTCTTGCACTCCCATAGTGCCCAATCTAAGCAGGAATACTAAGCCATTGGTGTCCTATCAGGAATAAACCCAAGACACTCACCATATGGTCGACTCCCACAGTCGCCTCTCAACCATCATAGCTATATTGAAGACCCAGACATCTATGTAAGTCCTGGGCACCTAACCTCAGGGTTGTCATACTACCTAATTGCCATCAGGGCGGCCCTCTTTAGGGCAAAAGATCTAGTCGACTTTAGCAAGTCATAGGCACAGCCTCAGGGTTGTTAAAGACCTAGTCGACTTTAGTAAGTCCTAGCCACAGCCTTGGGGTTGTAAAAGACCTAGTCAACTTCAAATAAGTTCTAGGCTCATCAACGTGAGGCTTACGTTCTGAAGCAGAAATACGACGCTTAAGTTGAGGCTCACAAACGTGGAGCTCGCGTTGATTGAGAGATCAACTCTCTTGGAGATAGTCTCGTCGTAAGGATATTCTCCTCCGTCGAGCGGTATTCTTCTTAGCTTATTTTAAGGCCTTTACAGCGAGGTCATCTATGTTAATGGAGCTTATCGCCGCAATTGGCCTTTTATGACCCGATACCCGTCGCTTTGGTGCGGATGTTAGACCATTGAGTCGATTGACGAGTCCAACAAAAGCTGAGCCCACTCCTTCAGCGGAGGGGCTGTTCGAGAAGTATTGACCTAAGATGAGGGCCTTCTTTGATGATTCAGCAATGGATGGAGCTTTGGTTTTGTTGGTGATCGTGAGGACCTTGCGCATAGCCTTAGGGCTAAGGGATCCGGAGGAAAGGGCTTCCTCATACTTGGATAGATCAAACTCTACCACAAGAGTTTCGACTGTTATTCCAACGAGGTTGATGTCGGATTGCGTCACCACTTCTTCGTCAGTGACGATAGTCCCCAGTAGAGTCGCCATATTTTATTTGTTGGGAAAATTGAAAGAAGAAAATTAAGAACTAGATTTGTCAGACTTAGAAAAAGAATGGATTACAATTCTCTCAATGCAATCTCCCTCTAATAACTTAGAAAAAGAAATTACAATTCCTGTGGGATTGACCAGTCGACTCATGCCTATTATGAGTTGACCTATGTGTCATGAGTCGACTCATATATGCACATGAGTCGACTCATCGATGGTTTCCTGATTCGTTTAGGTTTCTGGTTGCATGAATTCCTGTGGGGTTTGAGCTTGGTTATTTACCACTTTGTCATCCACGTTGTTACACCTATATAAGAGATTGTTTAGGGTTTCTAATAAATCTGATGTAATCAAAGAGAGATTCTAATCAAGGGAGATTAGGGTTTAGAGAGAATTAAGAGTTTGTTCTCGATTCTAGTAAGATTGTGAGAGAGAGATTATAATCTTTTCATATCATAATCTAGAGAGGATATTTTTCTTCGCCATATACTGAATTATTCTTGTGTTTCTGTCATCCTCTTCTCAACACACCTTAGATCGATCAGATCCTGTGGAGGGGGTATCCTGTATATGGTCCTGACT